AATGGGACTAGGTTTAGTCTGTTCAGCCAGAAAAGGAGAACCAGGAGCAATTATTGGTGATTGAACAGAAGCAAGGTTTAGGGTGAAGGGAAAACTTCTTAAATATTAGAGCTGTCCAGAAGTGGAGCAAGCTCCATTTTGCCTTTCAGGAGGTCTTCAATCCATGGCTGGATGGCTACTTGTCAAGTACATCATAAAAGGGATTCTTTCTCAGCTATGAATTGGACTAGATGGCCTCAGTAGGGGTCTATGCTTCTGGAATTCTTATTAATTAGAATTCTTAATTAATTTTTACCAATTAATTAATATTAATCTGGAGTTCTTATTCATTCTAATTAATAGTCACTGAACCCATTTTATTTGCAGGCTATGATCAGGATTTGACCTTTCAGCTCCCTCCAACTATCTCTTCAGAAATACCTTCCCCACCCCCAGGATTCACTACAGTAAGAAGCCGGAGGATGGCTGAAATGAAAGGTCCCCATCAGGCTTCTCTGAGAAGCAAAGTCAGGTCTCCTCCAAATGAGAAGAGGCCAATTTGGAGGAGGGAGAATGAAAAATTAAGTTTCCCTAAGTGATAGGGCAGTGGCAGTACCTCCTACCCACTGGCCCCATCTACCCATCTACAAGGTGGTACACTGAAAGGGAGGCCTCCCTTCAAAGGAATCAGGGCTGGCAGTGAAGGTGCAGAAGAAACAAATATGCATTTCCATTGAATTGGAGTTTCAGAAACTGAGAGCTCACCAAAGTTCTAGAAAGAGAATAGAGTGATGACACAAGGCTGAAGGAGATCCCAGAGAGAATGCAAATCAGTTGGAGGAAGGGAGGAAGAGAGAAAAACAGAGACAGACAGACAGAATGACTTATTTTAACACTTGGGCTACTGAGCCTGGGTCTATTTACCAAGGCAGAAGGAAGACAATAGCAGAGAAGGCAAGCAGAAGAGTTCGGAAAGGAACTAGTATTTAGAGCAATTTGACTTGCTTGGGTCAAATGGATGAATTAATGAAAGAATTGTCCCTATGGATCACCCAGGCTGGAGGCTTACTACGTGATGTGATTTGGGGAACAAGTAAAAGGCCCTGAACTACCCCAAATATCTCCGTTGGCCTGACATGATACATCAATCCTTCCTTCATTTCTGTCCTGAAATCTTTTAGACAATACTCAGGTACACTGTCTCCCAAAGGCCTCAGCTGAATAAAATGCGCACATCATGAGATCATAAATTTAGAGCTAGAAGATACTTTAGGGGCCATCTACCCCAACTCCCTCATTTTATAGATAAGAAAACTGAGGCATAGGGAATTTGGGACTTGCCCAAGGTCATACAGAGAATGAGTGATAGAGACAGGGTTTAAACCCAGGTTATCTGACTCTCAAGTCAGTTCTCCTTCCACTGTAACACACTCCATGTTACCTGGTAGCCTTTCCCATTAATCCATATCTTGGGAGAAGACACAGGGTTTTAGAACATCAGTATGGGTAACATGGTAAAAAATAAAGTGGGTGTCAGGGAGGAGGAGCAAAGGAGGCTAACCACCAAACACCATTTTGTCTCCAGAAAGCCCTTTACATGAAAACTGTTCTGGAACCTCTTGACCCAAATTAGTCGTCAGGGACTCAGTCAGGATTTCTAAATCAAAGAACACCCAATTCTACCCTATAAGGACGGTTTGTCCAAAGGACTAGGCCTCGTTACCACCCCACCTCTAATCCACACTGTGCTCTCATGGGCTTCCACTATACCCCATGTAAGGCCTTCTTGCATTCAGAAATGGAGTTAGAGCCCCTCACATATAGTCCTCGCCTTGTCCTAGATCCAGGAGGTTTAAAGAGCTACGTCCCTCCCTGCTTTCCTAAAAACTGTCATTCATGTTTCCTCTCTCATTGTCTGACCAACAGACATGAAGACTGGGCTTCCCCACTCCTAGTCACCAGAAAATGACAGATTCCAAATCTGCCACTAACTATAAGACCTTTGGCATGGTGGCCGCCAAGAGCCATAGTTACTCCAACAAATCAAGCTCCCTTTGTGGGATTATGCTTACATCTACTGTCCTTTCCTTGATACTGAAAGAGGAGAAGCTGAGCAGCATCCCCAGACTGAGAGCCCCAGCCACCCAGGGAAGTCTCCCTGCCTGGCCCCTGGCACAGGGCAGAGAGAAGCAAGGCTCAGCATCTACATTATCTAAGGAGCCTAGTCTTACGGAGACAGGACAGAAGGAAGAGATGGCTAGTAATGGCCTGAATTTACGTTCCTACAAGGACAGAGGAGAAAGAAGACAGGGAGGGATCCTGCCCTACTGAGATTAGGGGCATGTGTATATATACATACACACCCATGTATGTATGCATATGTATATATGTGTATTATGTTAAATATACATACATATATATTATACGTAATAAGGCTCATGAGACAATGTGATATAGTGGATAGACAGCCTCAAATCCAAATTTCTTACTCTGATACACATTGGTTGTGTGATCCTAGGCAAGTCACTTATTTTACAGGCAGTGTTCTTTGTAGAGAAAGTGCCAAGCTAAATTAGTAGATAGAGTTTTCTCAGCCTAAAGTTCCCTATATTAATGAAATCACAGGTCCACTTGCTTTCCCTAGATTTTGTTGTTGTTCAGTCGTTTCAGTTGTGTCCAACTTTTAGTGGCTGCATTTGGGGTTTTTCTTGGCAAAGATACTGGCATGGTTTGCCATTTCCTTCTCCAGCTCATTTTACAAATGAGGAAACTGAGATAAAAAGGGTTAAGTGACTTGCCCAGGGTCACACAGCTAGTAAGTGTCTGAAGCTGGATTTGAACTCAGGAAGATGAGTCTTCTTGACTTCAGGCCCAGCACTCTATCTACTGCAACACCCAGTTTCCTAGACACACACAACAGAGAATATGACCTCTCATCTCTAATTGATAAGCTTATTATCTTCAGTGCCCACACCAGCAGAGAGGAGTAATGAACCTGCTTTAAGGAACTTTCCTCCTACCTACCAGTGGGTCTAGATTCGGGGGTCCTGGGGTCAGACCTTGGCTCTGCCCCTTACTACCTTTATGACTTTATGCATGTCACCTAACCCCACTCAGTTTCTTCACCTGTAAAATGATGTGTTTGGATGAGATCTCCTTTCTATCCCTAGATCTGTAATTCTATGAACTGGAAAGGAAAATGGAAGAAAAGGCCCAGACCCCTGGCCAGGACCTTCCTGAAGAACAAAATTCAAATCAGGTCCCAGGTTCAGGTATCGTTTTCACCCACGAGCTATTCTCAGAAGGAATGTTCAGGATCATCTTCCAGGCCAGCAACTAGAGACCTTTGGCAGGCCACCTTCCTGAAGCAAAGCAGAGGAGGAGCTGCTGCTGCTGCCTCTTGCTCAGGACATGGGGCACGTGTGCTGGGAGGGATCCTGCCTGTTGTCCCTTTCCTGGGGAAGAAGGAGTATAGAGGCAGAGAACATTAGCAACAGAAGCAACTTTAGCAATCATCTAGTTCAACCTCCTAGAAGAAACTGAACAACAGAGCCCTGAGTGCCTGTATACCAAGCTCAAAAGCACAGACTGCTCTGGGGATATACTGATACCCAGTGTGACATAAAAGGCAAAAAAGAGAATAGATAAAGATCAGTCAGTGGCAGAGAGAAAGGACTAAACAACCAATACCATTACAGCCCAGATCCAGTCAACCCAAGGGCAAAGGAAGCACAAGATGTAAAAGAGGTCCAAGTGGTCCAGCGGTAAAATGGACAGCGCCCTGGATTAACAGGCAGCAATTGGAAGCCCTGAATCCTAACCCAGAACTGCACTGTCTAACCTTAGCTCATTTAACTTGTCCTAGTTTCTTCATCTATAAAATGTGCTTCCTCACAGGGCTGCTTTGAAGATTAAATAAAGAACAGATATAAAAGTGCTTTGAAAAATATCTAACACAGCACGAATACAAGGTATGATTCTCCTTCTTATATTTGATGGGGTGGGGAGGGGGAAGGGGCGGTTACCCTTGGTTCCCAAAGGCTTTGTCGATGGAATCCAAGGGAGGCAGAATGGCACAGTGAAGAAATCACAGGAGCTAGAGGCCTCAATTCAAATGAAATCCCACCTCTCATGCTTAGTACCTATATGACCTAGTGCAAGCTACCCAGTTTCTCTGAGCCTCAGTCTCCACATCTGTAAAAACAAAGGGATTGGGCTAGTTGGCATCTAAGCTCCCTCCCAGTTCTAGACCTATGATCCTAAGACCTCTAGTGGATTCTGTCTAGCTGGGAAAGCTTCAAGCACAGTTCCAGTGATAAACTATTTGTCTGAGGGCCAGTCTAGCTAAGCTCAGAAAGACTCATACACTAGAAGGTGGGCTAGCAACTGATGAATATTTTTTGGCCACAGAAAGCCCTAGAAGGCCCACCTGTGAATGGCATGGAGGATTCACATTCTGAGTCAATGAAAGGAGCACCCATCCCAATGAAATCATGGAAATCACACAGCCCACTTTTGTCTCTCTATCCATGACTCCCTCGGGGTGATATCCAGCCAGTAAAGAGAGGGACTTGTCCCCGGGCTCACATGGCCCCTGACTTACTCCCTTCTCTCTGTCCTTCATAGATACTGTGGGCCACTAAGCTTCACAGATAGAACAAAGAGGTTAAGGATCTCTGGTCCATATCATGACCTGTCCCCTCTAGCCCATGTGCCTGCCAAATGGACTGGCTCCTCATCTGTATGTCGCTGGATCAAGGCTTCTCTGGATAAGTCTCACATACTCTGAATCAGGCTCATGGGTAGGGACAGCTCTGTCTTCTCTGAAATCAGCATGGCCCTTCCCTGCTGTGAGTGTGGGCGCTACTCCAGATTCAGGTCACATCTGGTTGTAAATGTTTTTCCCTTCCCACACAGGTTTCAGAAGCCTGATCATCCAAGTCAAGAAAAGCCCCCTTGGCCCTCCCTAAAGAAGAGGGCAAGCCACCTAGGTTCCTGGGGTTCCTGGGGAAGCCACTTACATTTGGGGATGGCTCCAACATGTTGTCACCATGCCAGCCTGAGATGGGCACAAAGGGGACTGTGGCAGGGTTGTAGCCAATTTTCTTGATGTAGGCGCTGACCTCCTTGACGATTTCGTCATAGCGCTTTTCACTGTAGGGGGGCTCTGTGGAGTCCATCTTGTTGATCCCCACAATAAGCTGTTTCACACCCAGAGTATAAGCCAGCAAGGCATGTTCCCGGGTCTGCCCATTTTTGGAAATGCCAGCTTCAAACTCTCCCACACCAGCAGCCACAATCAGCACCGCACAATCAGCCTAGCAGAGAGGCAAGGAGGAAAAGGAAGAAAACAAGCATTTATTAAGCTCCTACTATGTGTCATGCACTTTAAAAATATTTACTCATTTGATCTTCACATCACCCCTGAGAGGGTAATGCTATTATTATCATATCCATTTTACAGTTGAGAAAACTAAAGGTAAGTGACTTGCCCAAGGTTATACAGTTAATAAGTATCTGAGGCTGGATTTGAACTCTGGTCTTCCTCACTCCAGACCCAGTGCTCTATCCATTGCACCACTTAGCCACCTATAGAAGGTAGAGATGATCTCCAATTATCCAATCTCACTTTCATTCATAGGATCATAGATATAGAACTGAAAAAAACCTCACAGGCCATCTAATCCAACCCTCTATTTGACAAATAGGGAAACTGAGGCACAGAGAAATGGCAAAGTAGATAGAGCACTGGATTTGGTGTCTAAAAGAGTTGAGTTCAATACTTACTGTGTTTCCCTGGCCAAGTCACTTAACTTCTGTCTGCCTCAGTTTCCTTACCTATAAATTGAGAATAATAATAACACCTACCTCCCAGGACAGTTGTGAAAATCAAATGAGATATCACATGAAATTATTTTGTAAACTTCAAAACACTATATAAATGCTAGCTCTTATTATGCGACTTGCCTAGGGTCAGAGATTGGATTTAAACTCAGATCTTCTCTGGAAACAATGTCATAAGGGGGAGCTAGGTGCACTCACTAGCTGTGTGACCCTGGACAAGTCACTTAATCTCAATTGCCTCGCAAAAAAAAAAGAAAGAAAGAAACAGTGTTGTATCCCTTATACCTACTACTACTCTTCCTCAAATTGCCTTCAACCTTCCTACCTTACCCTCCAAAGCACCCCACATTTTCCCCATATCTATAGATCAAGGATGCCAAAGGATACTTCTTTTCCATATCCCCCATTCAGAAAAAGAGAAAACTAATTTACTCTGTCCTCCCAGTGACAGAGACCAGATTGGATAGTCAGGTCACTACAGGGAAGGCTCAAAGTCAGTGCCCTACCAACTCCAAACCAGCACCCCCTCTTGCCACATCTGCTCCCACGTCTGTATGGGGAAGCCAGATGTTCAGCCGGAGACTACATCAAGCTTTTTACTACTGCTGGAGACAAGATGGAGAGTTGAATAGGGATGGGTTGGTAGACTTCAGCCCTGGAGACAGAAGAGGATCATGGGAAGGGAGGGACAAAGAGTCTGACTGAGTCCCATCTGAATGCCCACGGGCAGCAGAGTTACAGCCATTCTCATAAAACACTGACAAATGGGCATGACCTCCCAGACATGCTCCTTCTGCCATGTGCTACTCACTGAAGGGGCCTTCACTGGGTCAGACACTCCCCAGACTTCCCTAATCCTCTAGTGCCCATTTCCAAAAACCCCTCACTGGAAAACAGGAGAGGCAGCGAATAATAATTTTTCTCCAGTTAGTCTCAGCAGCCTCTTTCTCTGAGAACAATTAAACACCTGCTCTACCACTGTTTCCAGACAACTTGAGCCAACAGCACTTTCCCTAAGCAGATGACTCTCAATAGCAACTCTAAATTGAATCACAGTGGTACATGGGTGCTGAGGTGCACAGAGGCCTCTATCATTGGCCACCTTGTAATTCAACACGGGGTAGGTGTCCCTGGGGCCTAATTAAAGCTCCCACGCTCATCGATGGTTGATGCAAAGGGGGACTAGCCAGACAGACTGGGGAACTGTCCTCAGGCCCCAGAAAAATACTATTTGCTCAGCCAAGATCCACATTCAAAGCCTGCACGATGTTTCAGGCCATCCTCTTTTCCCACTTCAACTTCCGTGCTTTGTCCTGAGCAGGAAGCTCCCCTCCTTTCGAATAGTTCCTGAACTCTCACATCCTCCGAGAAGCCATTCTCAAATTATCAGAAAAGACCCTCTCCTTAGATCCTCCTTATCTAGACATAGAAGTCCTATAGTTACTCCCTTACTTCACTCCTAAATGCCCTGACCCTAGATCCCAACATGATGAATTTACGAGCATCTGTCTGAGTTTGGGAAGCAGGGTGGTATAATGCAGAGAAGTAATGAACCATGCCCTATTCTTACTTTATCCACTAATTAGGTTTGCGACTGACTCAGATCATTCCTTGGGATAGCTCCAAGAGTCAAAGGATCATCAATTTATACCTGGAAGGGACTTCAGCAGCCCACTCATCCATTCCCCTCCCTTATATGAGAAAACAGAGGCCTATAGAGGTAGAGAGGTTTACCCAAGGTCTGTTGTTGTTCAGTCATTTCAGTCATGTCCAACTTTTCATGACCTCATTTGGGGTTTTCTTGGCAAAAATACTGGAGTATACCTTCTCCAGCTCATTTTATAGATGAGGAAACTGAGGCAAACAGGATTAAGCAACTTGCCCAGGGTCACACATTTAGAAAGTGTCTGAGGCCATATTTGAACTCAGGTCTTCCTGATCCCAAGCCCAGTGCCACACAAGCAGTAAGCGGCCAAGCAAGGATTCAAACCCAGGTCCTCTGATTCCAAGTCCAGTATCCTCTCCATGGCAACATGCTTTCCCGATGGACCTCAGTGTCCTCATCTGTTTGTTAGATGGAGCTGATAATCATTATCATGCCTCTCTCACTGAGGGAGATAATGCATCTTCACCAGTGTTTTAATTCTTCTGTTTATGTGTGTCTATGTTAACTTGTCTTTGATTATAAACCCCTGGATAAATCCTATGGAGCTCTCTTAATGTGCTCCCTACTAGCTCTATATGTTCCTTTAAAAGATGGTGGTGGTAGTGGTGGTGGTGGTGGTAGTGGTAAGCACAGGCTGGCAGTGTCAAAAGATATAAGACCACATACCTGAAGAAGAAGGAAGAAGAGGAGAAGGGTGCTCACTCATGGCAGGAATAACCTCCCCATAACTAAAGAATTTGATACCCAAAGAATCTCACGGACAGAAACTTTACTTTTAAGGACAACTAGGTAATACAGTAGATAGAGTATTGGACCTAGAGTCAGGAAGACTTTCAAATCCAACTACAGACATTTACTGTATGACCTTGGATAAGTCAATTAACCTCTGTTTGCCTCAGTTTTCTCATTTGTAAAATGGAAATAATAATCCCTACCTCCCAAGGTTGCTATGAAGATCAAATGTGATAACATTTGTAAAGTTTGCCTGGCGTATAGTAGATACAGTATAAATGCTAGCTAATATTATTATTATTATTAGTTATTATGATCCTCATTATTCATGGAGCATGCACCATGCAGCCTCTACCTTCTTCAGACTATTCCCTGCTCCTCACTTCCCCCCCCTTATCATCCCTCACCTGCCCCTCACCTGCCAGAGCTACTGCCCACCTGGGAAGTTCCTGTGATCATGTTCTTGATAAAATCTCTGTGTCCTGGCGCATCAATGATGGTGATGTAGTATTTGGTCGTCTCAAACTTCCAAAGAGAAATGTCAATGGTGATCCCCCTTTCACGTTCAGCTTTGAGCTTATCCAGGACCCAGGCATACTTAAAGGAGCCTTTCCCCATCTAAAGATTGATCAAGAGAGGAAAAAATAATAGAGAGACAGAAGTTAGCCTTGAAAAGAAACAACAGTGTGGCAGATTTAGTCTTGACGTATCAGGAGGCACTGGATCCTGCATGGCCTCATGTGATTGATAATAAATGCTAATGACCAAAAATCATATCTTGGGAAATGAAGGCAGTTTGTTTTCAAGGAAAAGAGCACTAGATTATGAGTCAGGAAGTCTGATTTCTAGCCCCAGTTATGGTATTAGCTGCATGATTTTCTGCAATCTACTTTCCCTCTCTAGACCTGCCCCCTCCTTTGAGGGGACTGGACCATGTGATTCCTAAGGCTCCTTCTGTCTGGGAAGGCAACATGGAATACTGAAAAGAGAAATGGCTCTGAAGTTTTGGGTTCAAATATCATGATCTGATGCTTCCTACCTGCATAGCCTTAGGCAAGGCAAGGGACAAGTCACTAAACTTCCCTGGGACTCAGTTTCTTCATATATAAATTGAGGGTCTTATAAACTAGACGGCTTCTGAGGTCCCTTCTAGATCCAGATGTAGGAAAGCATGAAATGTTGTGTTCCTCTCCCTCTCCTCCCCCTCCTCCCCCTCCCTTATACAACTGTCAAAAGCATTTCCTCAACTAAAGTTCATTCAAAAATTCCCCAGTAGGGGGAGCAAATTGAAGCATACAAGAATTTTTTTTTTAATAGAAAAACAAATTAACTGATGTTGACAGATACCTTGTTTTCCCCAGAGGTCAGGGGTTACATTGCACCAATCCAAGAATTATAATGCATCTAGGTATTTCTACCTATTAAACGGCTGTTAAAATCTTGTGAATTAATGCAACATCAGTCAATTTTTCATTTTTTTTCTAAAGTCCTATCAGGTTATATCTTGAAGAATTCTTGAAGATCTCCAATCCCATACGCTTGAAGAGGGGGGAAAATGAGGGCTAGAGAAGTAAAATAATTCACCCAAGATCACACAGTTAGTGAGCAGCAAAGTGAGGACTTCACCCCAATTCTCCTGATGCCAGGTCCATCACTCATGCCACTACAACCTGCTGCCACCATTCTCCTGGCAAGGATCTTCAATTAGGATCTGTGGTTTCCTTTCTCTGCCCCTCTTCCAGACCCAATCTGCCTCATGAAGCTGTAATCATGGTTCTCTCACTAACCTCAGCTGCTTGGCCCAGAAGGAGAACCATTTCAAGGGTGGGGGGCTTGCCTTTTCTGAATAGAATCCAGCATTGGTTAGCAACGAATCCTGGAGTGCCAGAGGAAGGCAAAACCTCAGATGGATGGAGAGGGATCAGCAGCCCATAACCAACTATTCTAGAGCATCCAATAACTGCTATGGGCTAGAGCTGATATGAGTGTATGCTTCAGGGGACAGGTGGTTGGGGTTAGGGCCCCACTATGGGATTTGCTCTCCTCAGAGTGCAAAGTCTTCCTGCCAAAGAGGCATATCTCAGCTTTTAGAGTGAGTAAGTTACATGCCTTCTCATGCTTGCTGTAACTTTTTTCCTTCTTAAGCATATGCAGGGAACTTAGGGAGGGGAAAGGAGAACCACACAGTTCAGATGACATAGCAGGATTAAAAGGCTTATAGCCCAAGATTAGGAGGTTCTGAGGCCCTCAGCCAAAAGGCCAGTGCAAATGCCTTTGAATTTTCCTAAAGTAGTAGCTTCAAAGGAAGAGAGAGTGCTACTTTTAATGCTTTAATTACTGATAAACAGCTGAGAACATCTGGGTGCCAGGCTGGCTGTAGGGAATTGACCAAAAAGGTTATGAGGTAGCATGTCACAGTCATGTGAATGTCATCTCCCTCAGCACACCGGTCCTGAGAGACCCAGGTATGTTATTAAATGCAACCTGGTATTCTGAAAACTTCTTCCCTTGGGCCCCTCTGACCAACCCTGGCACATCCATTCCTACCCAAAGAGGCCCCTGGAGACACTTACAGACCCCTTGGCCTCATCTACCTGACCCAGTAAGTCCGCATCTCTGCTCAGGAAAGGAGCTCCCTCCAGCTGAGTGCTCTGAAGTCAGCCATGCCAACCCTAAGCCAGGTACCAAGTTCAGTCTTAGACTCAGCCCCTCCTAGACTGTTCCAGACAAGGATACCACTGTTTTCTGCCCAGAAGGACACAGGGCTTTTCAGCTTAACTAAGGTGAGCAATGGACATGAAACAAGAGCAACAAGAATCACTTTTGACAAACTCCCAGTCTTCCTCCCTCTCCCCACCCCCACCCAGCAGCTGCTTCAGGGCTCCCTAGCCAGGGCAGCTTCCCCAGCCTTGGCAAAGGGCAAAGTTGCAGTCTGGTTTTTTACATGCACTCGAGGCCTCCATTTCCTAGTAATGCAACCTTGTGAAAGAAAAACCTTCCCCAGCTCAGCATCAGAAAATGGAGTCAGGAAGCTCAGTCAATTGGCTATTAATAGTAACTCTGAGTCCTGCATATTCTGCCTGCCTGGAAGAGGTGAAGAACTGCCCAGCCCATCAGCACTTTGGGTAATCAGCCTCTGCCTTCATTTGCCAGATAGGAATCGCTGTCTGAGGAAGGTCGAGCTGTTGGGGACCTCAGGGATTTTATCTTTACCGGCATAGTAAAGAATATTCTGATCTGAATTAAATAAAATCAACAAATATTTATCAAGTACCTATGACTTACAAGGTTTGTTCTGAACACTACAGAATATAACCACCCTGTTTACTGAGTCGGCTAGCAATCAAGTCAGATGTAATTATTGTGGAAGGCTATTTGGGTTCCTCTGCAGAGCAAAGCCAAAAGCACTGTTGGCTGAAGGCTCCAAGCTCCATTTGCAGCCCGAAAAACTCAGGTCTGGCTCCTAGGGGCACAGCAGGGGGCTGAGTCCCTGATCTTAAGCCCTGTCCTTCAGTGCAGGCTGGGGACTCGGAGCTTTGTGGTCCTGCTCCCCTTCTACTGCTGTTTTTTTTTTCCCCAGCCAGAACCCAGGAGATAATATCATAAACTCACAGATGCCAGGTTTCATGCATTGTGTACTTAGCATAAAAAACCACACACTTGTCCTACCTTCAAAAGAGGTAAAATGAGCCCTAGAATAGAGTGGGGTCAAGCCCACTGATCTGTTCTGTGAGAAAACCAGTCCCCCTGGTGGGAGAGGGGGGAAGAGGAGGAGGGAATAGGGAAAGGAAGAGAAAAAGAGAGGAGAGGGGAGATGGGAAGGTGAGAGGAAAGAGAAAAGGGGAGGGTGAAGGAGAGGAGAGGAAAGGAGAAGAGGGGAGAGGAGAAGAGAGGAGAGGAGGGGAAATAAAATGAGGGGGAGGAGAGACAGGAGAAAAGAAAAGAAGGGAGGAGATGGAAGAGGAGCAAGGAAAAGGGTAGGCAAAGAATAAGAGGGAGAAGAAAATATAGGAATAGGGGGAAGGGAAAGGGGACAGGGAACAGAAGAGGTAAGAGGAGGGGGAGAAGAAAGAAGAGGAAGGAGGAAGTAGCAAAGTAGAAAAAGAGAAGAAAGGAAAGAATGGAAAATAATAGGGAGAGGAGGGGAGAAAAAGTAGGGGTGGGTAGGTAGGAAGGAGAGGGGAAAGAAGAAAAGGAGAGGGAAAGTATAGGAGTAGGTAGAGGGAAAAAGGAAAGGGAAGGAAAAAAGAGAAGGGGAAGGGAGAGAAAGAAAGGAAAAAGGAGAAAATATAGGAATGGGGAAGTGGGATGGAAAGAGGACAAGGGAAAGGGAGGGATGGGAATACAGACAACGAGGGAGAACGGAAGGAGAGAGGTGACTGGGAAGGGAGGGGGTAAAGAGGGACAATGGGAAGGCAATAGACAGTAAAGAGAGGAAAAAGGGATGGGAATAGGAAAGAAAAGGGAAGAGGAGGGGAAGAAGGTAATAGATGAGTAATGGAAACAGAGGCAACCAATCACTACAGTCTCACTCACCTCTGCAGCCTCCTTCTCAAATTTTTCAATGGTCCTCTTGTCAATGCCCCCACATTTGTATATGAGGTGCCCCGTGGTAGTAGACTTGCCTGAATCTACATGGCCAATGACGACGATATTGATGTGAGTCTTCTCCTTACCCATCTTGAAGGGTATGTGTTGGGGGCGGGGAGGGGGCCAACTCAACCTAAAAGGTTAGGATACTGGGTGGGGCAGGGGCTCTTCAGACAGTGGAAACTGAGCCGAGTTTTTGTGTAGGCTGGAAGAGAAAATAGGTAACAAAGAGGCTCAAAAGAGTCCCCAACAAAAGCTCCATCCAGGGCAGGGAGACCTTGTCAGCAGCTCTAGTGCTGGCATAGGCTAGGGATCTCTCTCTGTCTGTCTCTCTCCTTTGTGTATCCATCTCTTTTCTGTCTCTCCCTCACCCCTTTCTCTGTCTCTTCCTCTCAATCTGTCTTTTTGTCTCTCTGTCTCTCTTTGTCTCTCCTCTCTCTACATATATAATATATATATTGCCATCTCTTTGTCTCTCTTCTCTCTCTCTCCCCCTTTATCTCTTTCTCTATCCCTCTCCTCTGTATATTCATCTTTTTTTCTGTCTCTCCCTCACCCCTTTCTCTGTCTCTTCCTCTCAGTCTCTCTCTTTGTCTCTCTGTCTCTCTCTCTGTCTCTGTCTCTCTCTCTCTCTGTCTCTGTTTCTGTCTCTCTCTCTGTCTCTCTCCCCCTCACTGAAGGCAGCAAGGGAGTGTTGTAGAGCCCTGTGGTCAATTCAGCTCTTCCTGGTCAAAATGATCCGGGTGAATAATCTAGGAACCCATACCAGCAAATCAAATCAGTCCTGACTGACTCAGTAACTGGGGTCCAAGAAGATTTGGCAATGGGGCCCATTGAGACCTGACCTCATTGTAACTATGTTTAAACCCACTTGGGAAAAGAAGTAGAATGAGATATGCAAACACCCCACCCCAAGAGTGAGCCACACAGTCTTCCTGGGCCCAGCCATTGCAGCAGCTTTGCTCTGTCTCCTCATGGTAATGACTAATCCCCCTGGACTCCAGCTCCAAATCTACCTACCCTACAACCTTCCATCCCCACCCCACCCCCAACTCCCCACACCCCATACATACACTCCATATGGGTCAGGAGAGATGGAGCTCAAGGGAGGACAGGCCAACAGTTCCAGGAACAGGATTAAGTTCTGCCTTTCTCCCATACAGCTAAAATAGACTTTACCTCCATCTGATGTACATGAATTTTCCCTGATGAGATATTCAGTGCTGCTGTCCTCTCTTCCCACCAACCCCACACACACATACACACTCTCTCTCTCTCTCTCTCTCTCTCTCTCTCCCTCCTTAAATCAAAGCTATTTGGAAAGGGAGCCATTTTTTTTTCCTCCTCCAGCACCACCCCCCCCAAAGCAATATTGGGAAGTCATAACCTGAGTGACAATATGTTGTCCAGATAAGGACACAACTCAAAATAGCTTCGGCTCTGGCCCTTTCTCCTTGGGTCTGAGCTGAAGGGTCAGGACTAGCCAGAGGAGCCAAAAAATCCAACCACCCAACCCTGCTTGGCTGGAATCGTGTTGGCTCCTGGTCGGGAAGAGAGGAAATCTAGGGATGCTCCACAGTGACCCCTTGGCAGGAATTATGATTAGCTCCTAACCTAGCCACACAGAATTGAGGTTTGTTAAGATCCAAAAGGTGCAAAAGATCTGGGAGGACAGAGTTTGTTTCCAAATCTAAGATGCCAAAAGATGACAGTTCCCTAAGGTCCTGTCAAAACCTCCTCCCATTTGTCTCACCTATAGACACATTTCTAATGGTAGAGATATCCATCTTTTCAGATTTCCCCCACTCTAGCTATAGGGGGGAGAGAGAGGGAGACTGAGATAAACAGACACAGAGAGAGACAGAGACACAGAGAGAGACAGACAGACAGAGAGACAGAGACCCACGCATAGAAATTCAGACACACAAACGACCACACACACACCTTGGATATCTAGAACCCAGAGAAGCCAAAAATATTCGTAGGAGTGGGCCCCCCTGAAGGACTGATGGAGGGGAGATTGGCAGGGGTATTTTTAAGTTGCCAGATCTGGTCAGCCTAACAACCCACCCCATCCGCCCCCATCCGCCCCCATCCGCCCCCACCCCACCCCCACCCCCCTGCCACCTCCTCACCCCACTCCCCATCTCACGTCAGCCTACCATTCCGAGAATCCCCAGAGGCTTAGGGCAATTGTCTTACAGGGAAAGCAGAGGTGACCCTGGAGCGGCCCTGGTCTCAGACCCCTCCTCAGGGGCAGCCAAAGGGACCGCCCTCTGAGAACCGCAAGGTCAAGGCTACCTCTGCTTGTGCTCTACGCGCTAGCCCGGGTTCCGGCTCCCAGGAGACCCCTCAAGGACGCACCTCGTTTTAAGAATGAGATAAACAAGCTACGACGCAGCACAACCCATCCCGAGCTGCGGCTGCTGCCCCCAGCTCTCAGATCTTGCAGGTGTCCTTTCCCAACGCCCACACCCCACTCCCTTCTCCGCAAATCCTGGGACAGGGGACTCGATGTGGGGAATCCTAGTCCCCCACTCCCCGGATAATCTACTTCTGAGCCTTCGCCTTCTCCCTGCTCTATCCCCGCTTTCTCCCATCCTGGGTCCCTGCCCCTCCCAGTCCCCGGGGACCTGGAGTAGAGGCGAGGGGCTGTTCTCATTGCGAGGAGGCCTCCCGAGGGGAAGGGAGGGGGCACAAGCGATCTTACCCGGAGCTGAGGTCTCAGCCAGAGGGACTGGCGGCGCCGGCTCTGGCGGTTTTATCTCCCTAGGAGGGGGTCCACCTATTGACGGTGACGGCGCAATGCAGTGACCCCCTGTACTACAGCAATGCGGTACAGGGCTGGAGAGATAGGAGGAGGAGGAGGAGGAGGCGGCGGCCGGGGCGGGGGGGGGGGGGGGGGGGGGGGGAGAGGAATGAGTGAAAGAAGGAAGGAGGAGATAGAGGCTGGATGGAGAGACAGAAAGACAGGAACGGAAGGACAGAGAGAAACCGAGAAAGCAAAAAGAGAAACAAGGAGAGAGCGTGAGAGAAATAGAGACAGGAAAACAGAGAAGGGGGGGAGAATGAAATTAGACTCCCTTAGACCGACAGAGACAGAGACAAAAGCAGAGGCAGAGACAGAGGCACAGGCAGAGACAGAGGCAGAGGCAGAGGCAGAGGCAGAGGCAGCAGAAGGTTAGTAGAGAAGAGGAGGCAAGGAGGGGAGTAGGAGAGAGAAGATGCAGGGGAAGGCAAGACAGGGGGAGTTGACAAGTTGAAGAAAGAGGCCAAAAGGACCCTGAGGACAAGGATGATGACACAATGCTAGGTCAGATGACAGTGGGTCATAGGAGGAGGATATGGATGGAGGGAAAGGAAGAAACCCTGACAAGGGCAGAAAGAAAGCCCAGGAGAAATTCAGGCTGACAAGGCGCTGTGAGTCGACTTAATGTGCATTATTCTAAGCCTTAGAATTAAAGTTGAATGAGGCCAGCCTTCAGAGATGGCCGAGGTGTTCCATGGGTGCCAATCCCTGCTGCAGGAAAAGGCTTCCCTACTGCAATCCTTCATGCACTCATTTAACAAATGTTTACTGAATCCCTACTTCGTGCAAGGCCCTGGGTGACGTTCCACCTTGTGAATTCAGTTAACTTGGTATTGTCTATGTGAGGATCCTCTGGCTGCTTGGTGGTTCTCTGAGGCTGAGTTTTTATCCCAGGATGCCTTCTTCTCCCCATTCCCCCCAATATAGCAACACTTTATGCTTGCTTCCCCCAATCAGTCAATGTGAGCTCAAGGAAGGCAAAGTCTTTGCATTATCAGCTCCAGTAAAGTATAATGAGGAAAGGAGAGCCTGCTGATGCTGAAAGAAAAAAATAGGATATTTTCCAAAGGCAAAGGGAAAAATCTTTGGATTATCCACACTAGAGTTCCTTTGAATGAACATCCCAAAAAACTTACCAGCCCCCTTATCGCATATAGAAAAAGAGGAAGGGAAGAGAGGTATGTTTGAAGAAGTAGATGGGGGAGTGTTGCTTTAACAGCAGAATAGGACCATAGATTTAGAAATGAAAGGAACATCAGAGATTGCCTAGTCTACCCCTCTCATTGTATAAATGAGGAAATTAAGGTCTAGATTGGTGAAATTACTTGACTAAGTACATACTGGTAGTAGGTTACAAGGCTGGGATTCGAACCCAGGCCCTCTGACTCCAAAATTCAATGGTTTTTCTGTTACACCTTGCATTTACAAGCATTAATATATTTGGAGGGAAGGGGAGAAGTAATCAGAGTTAAATGACTTGCCCAGGGTCACATAGCTAGTAAGTGTCTGAGGCCAGATTTGAATTCTGGTCCTCCTGACTCCAGGGCCAGTGCTTTATCCACTGCACCACTAAGCTGCCCCCATTAATACATTTTTGCTCAAATACCAGAACATTCAATCCTGAAGCCTTCCAGCTACTTAGAGTAATACTATGCTTAGGGCATTATCCATCTCAGCACTCAGGCTCTTCATTCATTCTTTTTTTTTTAAATAGTCCTTATTGAACACCTACTAGCGTATAGTGCTTAGATGGATAAGACCTGATCCCTGACTTCAAAGAGCTCATACTCTTGCTAGGAAGATAAGGAACATACATAGGTGAAAAAAAAAATTGCAGGAAAAAAAAGTGTGCAATATGACCAATGTACAGGGGAGAAGAATAATTGTGTTTAACAAGAGATAACAGCTCAAAAAATGTGCACGTATGACCTCTCAATTCATCCTCCCTTCTTGTCTATGATGACGTTCAGATAAAGGAGGGACAGCTGTGTTTCTGTGATGGTTAGGAACATAATCATGCCCAGGGTAGTAGGACAGACCAAATGTCCTTTCAAGGTCCCTTCCAGGGCTCTGACTATGACCCAACCAAAGGTTACAAAAAAGAAAACTATCATAACCCAGGTCACTAGAGCAAAGGAAGTATGATGGGAAGTGTGGTCCTCGGAGTCAAGAGGCCAATGGTCAGATCTAGGCACCTTTTACACACACACACACACACACACACACACACACACACACACTACCTGTGTGGCCATGGACAAGCATAGCAACAGCAATAGATACGGTGTCAGAACACTTGAATCTTGGCTCTGCTGTTATTAAATATAGGCAAACCACTGGTGTTCTCTGACCCTCAGTATCCTCATGTATAAATTAGGGTATTAGACTGTCTAATCTCTAAATTCTGTTCCAATTTCAAATCTTATAAACCAATATGCCTCTCCACTTCTCTTAATCCCAATTATTTTACCTGTAAGTGAAGGTAATAATACTCTTGTAAGTAGGAATTGTTTCATTATATTCATTTCAGCCTGGCACAGTGGTTGGCACGCAGGACGCACCTAATAAGTGCTTGCTGATTGATTGATTGATTGATTGTACTGTATTCAAAGGAATATGGTGAGGAAAATGTTTCATTACTCTTCAAACAATAAGCAAAATGGGAACCATTATTATTAGGATAGTTGGTATTTTCTAATACCTTCCATCCAAGAACCTCAGGCCATTTAGTTTGAGATCAGGCTGCCCGATTGTTGTTTTGTGGGGTTTTTTTTTAAATGACTGGCCTGCTTCCTTCTAACAAAAGGGTGACCTCACCTCTTATAAAGTCTGGTCGTCTATGACATGCCATGTCACCACAATAAGAGGTAAGGCTCAGAGAGGAATCGAAGGATGTGGGATTTAATTAAAGTGGCTTGGCTCCAAAGCAAAAGCTAGAAATGAAGCATTAGCCATCTTTGGCATTAGCACCTTCAAAGGAACTTTACTGTGTCTCAAGCTTTCATTCAGACCCTGGAGAGACCTTGAAAATCTCAGGGAAAGTCTTCCTCCTGGCCCTAAAATGGAACAATTCAATGAACAGGTTGAGGGCCCCTGAGTGCACTGCTTCCTTCAGGCAACACACTGAAGCTGGGTATTGCTGATCTAAAACACTCCTCATGAACACAGTCAGGCTAAATGAGGAACATGCTATCTCTGGAGTTGGGTGAGATGGATAGCACCCAGCTAACATCAGCAATAATGAAAGCCCATTGGTTCCTTTATGAGTGCATTCTCTGGCAAGAGCAGTCAGAACAGGTTAAACTCATTTTGGTCTGTACAGTCAGCAGCCATTCCTCAGCCAAAAGAGAAGTACACTATTACCAGTGTAACTGTCTAGAAGGAGGGCAAGTTCTAGAATGCATAAGGGAGAGCTGGGTCTAGGCTCAGGGGTCAGGGCTTGGCTGGGCTCTGGGCTGTGGGAGGCTGGATTCCAGACTCTGTACTGGTTCAGGACTCAAAGGTAAGGGTTCTGACCTTTTGGTTTTTTTTACTCTAGGGGCTGGGCTCAGGGGTCAGGGGTCAGGGCTCTGAGGATCAGGCTGCAGTCTGGTCTCTGGACAATAGGCTTTGGACTTGGGACAGAGTTGGGCTGCTTTAGACATCTAGCTTCTGGGAGTTGTTCTGAGTCAGACTGTGTTTTTCTGGGAGCTGGGCTCAGAGTTCAGAAAGATGAATTGGAGAGTGAACTGGGCTCCAGGTGATGAGCTCTAGGGGCTGGGCTCTGGGCTCTGCATCACAGAATAATCAAAATGGTTGCCATAAACAACCTGTCCGGGCTATGGGGTGGGGAAAGAGGGTCAATAGCATTTGCTTTATTCACATTTATGTAGTTTACAATTTGCAAAGTGGTTTTCTCATCACAGCCCTATAGATAAGTATTATCCCTATTTTGCAAATGAGAAATAGTCTCTGGGAGACTGAATGATTTGCTGCCTAACTAATAAATATCCAAGGTGGGATTTAAAGGCAAGTCTTCTGACTCTTAAGTCCAATACTCATTCCAATAGCCATTACAATTTGAGACTAAATAACACAAATAAATGATTCAAAATGGCCAGCTTTAGCATCATGCCTGGACTATATTCACTGGTCCCCCACACTGCTTACTAAATCATCTCTTCTGAATGTGACATGGCTTAGTGAAAAGAATGATGGATTTGAAGTTGAGACCTGGGTTCAAATTCTGCCTTTATCACTTACTCCTTGTCTGTCTGTCATTGGTTAACTCATTTACCTTCCCTCTGCCTTAGTTTTTTTGTTTTTGTTTTTTGGGGTTTTTTTTTTTTGGTTTTGGTTTTGGTTTTGTTTTTCAGTAAAATGAGGATTAGGTCATTTCTAAGGTCATCTATGGGCAGCTATGGGCACAGTGGATAGAGTGCCAGGCCTGGAGTCAGGAAGACCTGAGCTCAAATCCAACCTCAGACACTTACTAGCTGTGCGACCCTGGGGAAATCACTTAACCCTGCTTGCCTCTGTTTCCTCATATGTAAAATGAGCTGGAGAAGGAAATGGCAAACCACTCCAGTATCTTTGCCAAGAAAACCTTAAATGGGGTCCCAAAGAGTTAGACACGACTGAAACAACTGAACAACAACAACATCATTTATAACTTTAAAATCTTGTGATACTATGATCTGTGGTCAAGTTCTAGCCCTGAAACATACTGCTTTATGACAGTCTGAGACTCAAGACTCAGTTTCCCCATCTGTCAAATGGCAATAATAATGACTACCCTGCATACTTTCCCGAAGTGTTGTGAAGATCAAGTGAGATCAGAGATATAAAGTGCTTTTCACACTTTAAGACTCTGTATAAATGTGAGCTATTATTATTGTCTCATTTGCATTCAAAAGGTCAGAGGAGAGTTAAAATCCTTGGAACACTGTTCTCAGTTTCTAAGGAGAAATGAGACTTCATTTGAAAACACATTAGAGGCTGGGACCCTAAAATTAGGCTGATGGAAAGCTGGCTTTCCTGAGCCAGGTCTGATCCTCTGCAGTCACCCAAGCCTCT